CAGTAATTGCGTGTCTGCTTATCAAGTTGGCTCTATGGGTTTTATCGTTTAAAACTTGGAAAACATAATTATTACATTCAGAAATTTAGTCTTCTTTTCCTTTGTGTTTCTTGTCCAAACATTGCCATATACGCGTCGTGGTGAAGTGATAAAGCCAGTATCACAGAATTTTTTTTTCTTTAAAGGGGGGGGGGGGGTTTACACCTGAAGGCTATCTTACTTATTAGAGGACCAGATTTTACCAAATTTCACACATAATATAACAATCATAGTAAGGAGTTTTAACATCCACAATCAAATTTGAGAAAAAAAATTCGTTGCCCTGGATACGGCGGTCATATATGATTTTGTTGATATGTCTTACGTAAGGAATAGCGCACCTATTGCTAATGGAAATCAATTTTTTTTTTGCATGCGTGTTAACAAATATTGGATCTAAAAAGTTGACTGTTCTTTTTTTTCTAAAGAAATTTTAAAAATTAAATTTCAATCAATTTTGTTTTCTGAGGTAGATCTAGTACAAGTTTGCAAAAATCCGTGAAAATCCACACTCGAGACATCACCACCAAAATCGATTCCCTATATCAAAAATTCAACAGACAAATGTTTAGTATGACATCTTTTCTTCATTCTGTGAAATTTTTCTTGAAGATTTGATGAAAAATGGTGGAGTTATTCCAAAAAGAAAAATCGCGTTTTGAGAAAACGTCCAATAAAGAAAGTTAAATATTGACTTTAGGAGGAAGCGGTGGTGACAAACATGCTCGGTATGGGAAGAAATAGGGCTGTTGGGGATTCTTATGCAATGAAATAGTTGTAGGAGATGCTGACAACTCAAATTCCATAATTTTGAGCCGAATCGGGACTTTAGGGGTGTAGCCTTCCTACCCCCCCCCAACCTTATTGTTATAAATGTGGTGATTAGAGATGCACTTTATTGTCTAGAGGTGGTCACTCTATTCTTGTGCCTGATTCACGTCTCCCGACCGGCTATCATCAAGCCCAGTATCATTTGTCCTGAAAGTAGAGGGCCTGCCATTGGCGTTTTCACGGGTCAACAAAATTACAGAACTTCGTGGGGGTATCAAGGAGGTCATACAGTAATGGAGGCTGCTCTGTGGGCGGCAACGCACGCCTGATCGAAGCCCTCTCTCGCAGCGGAACCATGGTCAACCTGCGTCGCTGCCCGACTCTCACACTGTAATCTAGATAGGAAAGAAGGTTTTATTCTGAGGTCCTTGAGATTAGGCAAGTCAGTAG